TTGCCCTAATCTGCACCACGTTGCACCAAGCTTCACCAAGTTACACCACTTTGCACCAATCTGCACCAACTTCCACCAAGTTTCACCAAGTTACACAAAATTGCACCAATCTGCACCAAGTTGCCCCAATCTGCAAAATGTTGCACCAAGTTTCATCAAAAACTGCACCACTCTACACCATGTTGCATCAAGTCTCACTAAGTTACACCAAACTGCACAAAGTTGCCCCAATCTGCATTAATTTCCACCAAGTTAAACCCAATTGCACCAAGATGCAACAAGTTCACAAAGATGGCACAAAACTGGACAAATCTGCACCAGGTTGCACCAAACTGCAACAAGCTGCACCAAGTTGCCCCAATGTGCTCCATGCTGCATAATTACACCAATCTGTACCAAGTTCTACCAAGTTACACTAAACTGTACCAATCTGAACCAAGTTTCACCAAGTTACACCAATCTGCACCAAGTTCCACCAAGTTTTACCAAGTTCCACCAAACTGCTGCAAGTTGCACCAATCTGTACCAAGTTGCAAAAAAGTGCTTTATGTTGCACCAAGTTGCACTAAGTTCAACTAAATTTCACTAAGCGGCACCAATCAGCACCGAGTTGCACCAAATTGCACTAATCTGCACCAAGTTGCAGCAAGTTGCCCGAAACTGCACCAATCTGCACCAGATTGCACCGCGTTGCACCAAATTGGACTAATCTGCACCAAGTTGCCCCGATCTGCACCATGTTGCACCAAGTTTTGCCAAGTTACACCAGTCTGCACCAAGTTGCACCAAGTTGCCCCGATCTGCACAACGTTGCACCAAGTTTCACTAAGTTACACCAAATTGCACCAATCTGCACCAACTTCCACCAAGTTTCACTAATTTACACAAAACTGTACCAATCTGCATCAAGTTGCACCAAACAGCACCAATCTGCACAAAGTTGCAACAAGTTGTAAATTTCACCAATCCAGCATCCAGCATCAACCTCCACCGAGTTGCACCAACTTGCACTAATCTGCACCAAGTTGCACCAAACAGCAGCAAGCTGCACTAAGTTTCACGAAGTTGCACCAATCTGCACCATGTTGCACAAAGTTTCACCAAGTTACACCAAACTGCACCAAGTTGCACCAAGCTGCACCATGTTGCACCAAGTTACACCAAGTTCCACTAAATTTCACCAAAGCAGCCCAATCTCCACCGAATTGCACCAACTCGCACTAAACTGCACCACGTTGCACCGACTTGCACCAACTTGCACCAAACTGCACCAATTTGCACCAAGTTTGACCAATCTGTACCACGTTTCACGAAACTGCACCAAATTCACTAAGATGGCACCAAACTGCGCCAAGTTGCACCAACTTGCCCCAATCTGCACCATGTTACACCAAGTTTCACCAAGTTTTTTCAAACTGCACCAATCTGCACCAAGTTCACCAATATGGCACCAAACTTCACCAATCTGCACCAAGTTTCACGAAGTTGCACCAATCTGCACCATGTTGCACCAAGTTTCACCAAGTTACATCAAACTGCACCAATCTATACCAAGTTGCACCAAGTTGCACCAATCTGCACCACGTTGCACCAAGTTGCACCAAGTTCCACTTAATTTCACCAATGCAGCACCAATCTCCACCGAGTTGCACCAACTTGCACTAAACTGCAGCAAGTTGCACCAACTTGCACCAAACTGCACCAACTTACACCAAACTGCACCAATCTGCACCAAGTTGGACCGATCTGTACCACGTTTCACGAAACTGCACCAAGCTCACTAAGATGGCACCAAATTGCGACAATCTGCACCAAGTTTCACCAACTTGCCCCAATCTGCACCATGTTAAACCAAGTTTCACCAAGTTTTACCAAACTGCACCAATCTGCACCAAGTTGCACCAAACTTCACCAAGCTGCACCAAGTTCCACCAAGTTTCCCCAAGTATCACCAAACTGCTGCCAGTTGCACCAATCTGCACCAAGTTGCACAAAACTGCTTCATGTTGCACGAAGGTGCACCTAGTTCTACTAAATTTTACCAATGTGCACTGAGTCGCACAAATTTGCACTAATCTGCACCAAGTTGCAGCAAGTTTCCCCAAACTGGAACAATCTGCACCACGTTGCACCAAACTGCACCAAGTTCACCAAGATGGCACCAAACTGCACCAGGCTGCACCAAGTTGCACCAAACTGCCCCAATCTGCACCATGTTGCACCAAGTTTCACCAAGTTACACCAAAGTGCTCTAATAGGCACCACAGTTGCACCTTATTGTATCAATGTGCACCAAGTTGCACCAAACAGCACCAAGCTGCACCAAGTTTCACGAAGTTGCACCAATCTGCACCAAGTTGCGCCAATCTTCACCAGGTTGCCCCAGACTGCACCAATCTGCACCAACTTGCACCAAAATGCAACAAGTTCACTGAGATGGAACAGAACTGCACCAATCTGCACCAGGTTGCGCCAAGTTTCACCAAGTTAAACCAAATTGCCCCAATCTGCACCACGTTGCACCAAGCTTCACCAAGTTACACCACATTGCACCAATCTGCACCAACTTTCACCAAGTTTCACCAAGTTACACAAAATTGCACCAATCTACACCAAGTTGCACCAAGGTGCCCCAATCTGCAAAATGTTGCACCAAGTTTCATCAAAAACTCTACCACTCTGCACCAAGTTGCCCCAATCTGCACCATGTTACACCAAGTTTCACTAAGTTACACCAAACTGCACCAAGTTGCCCCAATCTGCATTAATAGGCCATTTGCACTAAGAGGCATGTGACACCGTTTTTATGAAAATGAAAGTTATATGATTTTGCCTTCTGAGAACCATTAGTGCGTCATATCTTAAGCAAAATAATGGTGATTTGGTTTTTCAAACCCGCACCATTTTCTTAAAATGAACAAGTTCGTAAATGGTCACGTGACCAAAATGTGATTTTTAAAATTATGAATTACCTCTCTCTGAACACAAATTTTGCACTTAAACTTCAAGGAAAATGTTGAAAAGATGATGTGATAACGTTTACAGCACATTTGAGCGTAACTATGAAACGTTGAACAAGATATAAGCAAAAAGTAGTTTTGGCCGCCATGTTGGAGGGCAAGAGCATGCCCTCCAACATGGCGGCCGATACAAATCATACTACTTTGCTGAAAAATCAAAGTGCCACAAAATATCTCCCTTAAATGCGTTTCCTCTCAAATTTCGGGTGTAAGATAATTTTTGTGTGCTCTAACAATTTTTGGCATCAGCAAGATTCCAACTCATTGTTTAAAGGAAGCATTGGTCACGTGACCTCTTAGTGCAAGTGGCCTATTTGCACCAAGTGCCCCCAAACTGCACCAATCTGCCCCATGTTGCACCAAGATGCAACAAATTCACCAAGATGGCACAAAACTGGACCAATCTGCACCAGGTTGCACGAAACTGCAACAAGCTGCACCAAGTTGCCCCAATGTGCTCCATGTTGCACCAATTTTCACTAAGTTACACCAAATTACACCAATCTGCACCAAGTTTCACCAAGTTACACAAAACTGTACCAATCTGAACCAAGTTGCACCAAGCTACCCCAATCTGCACCATGTTACACCAAGTCTCACCAAGTTACACCAAACTGCACCGATCTGTACCAAGTTCCACAAAGTTCCACTAAATTTCACCAATGCATCTCCACCGAGTTGCACCAAATTTCACTAATCTGCACCAAGTTGCACCAACTTGCAACAAACTGCACCAATCTACACGAAGTTGCACCAAACTGCACAAAGTTGGACCGATCCTTACCACGTTGCACGAAACTGCACCAAGTTCACTAAGATGGCACCAAACTGCGCAAACCTGCACCAATTTGCCCCAATCTGCATCATGTTGCACCGAGTTTCACCAAGTTAGACCGAACTGCACCAATCTGCACCAAGTTGCACCGTTTCACCAAGTTACACCAAACTGTACCAAGTTGCACCAGTCTGCACTAAGTTGCACAAAGTTGCACCCAACTGCACCAATCAGCACCAAGTTCACCAAGATGGTACCAAACTGCACCAAACTGCACCAAGGTCCACCAAGTTGCACCAATCGGTACCAAGTTGCACAAAACTGCTTCATGTTGCTCTAAGGTGCACCAAGTTCCACTAAATTTCACCAATCTGCACCGAGTCGCACCAAATTGCACTAATCTGCACCAAGTTGCAGCAGGTTGCCCCAAACTGTACCAATCTGCACCAAGTTGCGCTAGACTACATCAAGTTCACCAAGATGGCACCAAACTGCACCAATCTGCACCAAGTTGCACAAAACTGCACCATGCTGCGCAACCACCAAATGTCTTTTAAGCATGAGAAAAGGCGGAACGACACCGAGCTGAGCAAATATTTGTGGAAACTAAAGGAAAAGAAGGAAGGCTATTCAATTTCGTGGAAAATCATCGCAAAGGCCAAGGCATACTCTAATACCACTAAACGCTGTAACTTATGTATCACTGAGAAGTTTTTCATATTATCTAATCCACAGATGGCCACTCTGAACAAACGAAACGAACTCATATCAAATTGTAGACATCGAAGAAAATATATTCTCAAGTATTCCTGAGATTTTGTTTATTGTATCATAAGCGCGCGTAGGTTTTTTGTATTTATAAATTAGTATTTTTTGAATAACGCCTCTGTCATGACAACCGCAAAAATATGTCACGCGATCATGTTGCTGTGTTAACCGTTTTGATGCTTCAGTGTGTATGGAGTTTAACTGATGAGTGGATCAACTTTTTGTTGGTCTACGAAACAGACCTGTATTAAAATCCATATGTGCTCATATTGAGTAGTCTATTTACTGTTATATATATATATTCCAATTTAACCAAAGAGGAACAAAATGCCCTACAGGAACTTAGAGAGGACTCTGAAATACTTATCTTCTAAGCTGACAAAGGAGGGGCAGTCGTAGTTATGGACCGCACATACTACGCCGATAAAATTCTCGAA